TAAGTCGCAGCGGTGGTGCACGTATGCCGCATCCGTAACCTAAGCGGGGCCGTTGCAGGGCGAAGTGTGCACCGCTCCGGGACAAACATTGGCGGCGTGCAAAAAAAGAGTGGGGGGAATTGGAAAAGCTCCTTAGACGGAAGCTGGTTCTTAGAAGGCGCCGGCCTCATACCTATAGGACCACCCTTGGGGTGATAAGGAGGTTTGGGGGGAGGAGCACCCAAACCACCATCGATCTCACCATCGATCTCTCTATCGATCTCACTAGCGCTCTCGATATCGATCGCACTGTCGGTATCACTATCGATCTCATTATCGATCTCAATACCGATCTCACACGAGATCTCACTATCGACCTCACACGAGATCTCACGAGACACCATCGGGACACCGCGATGGGGCACCCACAGCCACGGCGGGGCAACCCCAACCAAAGATCTGGTGTGATCGATCTCACTATCGATCTCTCGACCGATCTCACGATCACGATCGATCACGCAATCGATCTCACGATCGATCTCACAACTGACCTCACGAGCTACTATCGAGACACCACGGCGAAACACCCTGAGCCATCGTCGGGACACCCCGCGCCATCGACTGGGCACCCCCGCGCCACCGACGGGGCACCCCCGCGCAACCGTCGGCACACCCCGCGCCACCGACGGGACACCGACGGGGCACCGACACGCCACCGACGGGCCACCCCCAGCCACCGCGCGCCGGGGGGGGGGCGGACAACCTGCTCCACCGCCCCTGGCCACGGCGGCATCATTCCTTTCGCGCGGCCGCGGAGCTTCGCCTCGCCCGCACGCGCGACACGAACACGACACCGAAACCGATCTCCTGGTGGGGGGCTCTTCGTTCCACTGCGACGTCATTTGCTAACCTCCGATCTACAGACAAGGCCCGCGCCTTCTAAGTAGCCTCCTTCTAAGAAGCCTTTCCCCCTCCCCCGACCCCCCTCTGCGCGTGGCTGAAAACACCCAACGCCCCTTTTTGCCATGTGTGCAATCTTGTGTGACAGAAGTGCGTGGGCACCGTGACGATTTGGGCCTCGTCGGGGCGGAAACCGTGTGCAAATAAGCCAGCCCTCTTGGCGTATGTTTCATGGGCCACGCTTTCTACCTCCTTGCCTCTCCCTTCGGGAAGGGCACTTCCTCCCATGGATCTGGGGCGGGGGGAGGACAGAGGTGGCCCCAGACATCCCACGATGGCCTCCAAGATGGTGTGGGATACATCGACCAGGTTGGACGAGCATGGCGTCCAGCGTGCCTCAAGGGGGCCACGAAAAATGCCTCCGAGGCGGCTTCGAGGGGCACGGAAGCCCGGCACCGGTGCCCCCAAGAGGCCGCCATCTTTCAGCGGCGTCTGGTTTTCAAACGCTTCTGAGTCGATCGCAATTTCTTAGGACATTGCGATAGACAAGAAGCGTCGACAGCTGACAGGCTTCGAAAGCCCCCAGGCGGCACCAGCATCGCGCGATAGAGAGAGAGGGAGCTTCCGAGGGCCCGGGAGGGCTCCAGGATGGCCCAACAGGCCTCCGAGAACGTCCCATGAGGGCCCCCGAGAGGAGTTCCCTGTTGGCTCCGAAGCGGCGCCGCCAGTATAGAGCCTCCTCCCCTTTTTGATCGATGGTCGCACGCCCCTGAAGGCCTCGAGTGCTCCCCCGAGAGGGCCCCAATGGAGCCTCACAGGCCTCCAAGAGCGCCCGAAGTGAGCCCCCCAAGAAGACCCAAGACCGACTCTGAGTTTCTCGTCTCTCCGCCGTCACACAAGGTCCATGAGTCAGCCACAAGAGACTTCGCGGAGTCCATACGGGAAGCCCTGGAGCTCCCTGAGTAACATAAGAGACGGCAATGTGTAGGGCGGTTGCCACTTTCTTGTGCCTCTCTCTCTCTGACTGACTCTATGTCTCTCTCTTCCCCGCACTCCCTCTCTCTGTCTCTCTGTCTCTGTCTGTCTGTCTCTCTCTCTCTCTGTCCCCTAATGTGTGTTTGTATCTCTCTCTCTCTCCCACTCCCTCTGTCGGGCAACCTGTTTCCACAAGTCCCTCATCGAGGCAACTCGCCCAAGGATGGGTTCTGCACGGGCTGCCGGGGATGCGCGAAGCGTCAACACACTGACTTCCAGCGGGGCCTTCCTGCAACTCTTTTTTTGTCAGTACACGTCTTCCCGACTTCAGCTCGTTGCCAGCCCGGCTCGGCTCCCTTACGGGTGGAAGCCCGAGCGCCAGCCTCGCTTCCTCAAGAGTGCAATGCCGGAGCCCGCGTGACTGTAAGCCCCGACTCGGCGGCCTGCGAGCGGTGCCAGAGTAGCGCAGCAGCACGCACGAGCTGCGGCCGAGGCCCCGCCTCAGCGGAGGCTGCGACGCCGTGCGGAGCAACCTCTCTCCCGTGCCTGCCCTCCGCTCTTGGCTACAGGAGAAGAAGACAGCACGGCATACAGGCCGACCTGGGCCAGAGGAACATCCCTGAAGAGCATGAGACCCTCCGTCGGCCAGAACACACAGAACATCCAAGGGTGCCCTCCCCGGGATGCACAGGAACATCCAACACAATGGTACCCTCCCCAAGCCCACCTCGATCTTACACCTCGGTCCGACTGTAAACATAAACTTCCGGAGGCCCGTGCGGCATTGTTCGGTCGGCGCCAGCGCGCCAGGGGCGGCGCCGGAGACGCCGCCAGGGGGGCCCAAAGACGATCCGAGAAGTCCTCGCGGGCCTCCGGAATTTTTCGTTGATGCAGATGGGTTCTTCTTCGGCTCGATCCCTTTAGGCGGGCGAACACAAACACATGACCATACCCTTCCTGCCGCGACCAGAACGGGCATGGGGAAACCATGGGTACGACGTCCATCAGCACATGTTGTCCAAAACCGACAGCGGCTGCCGCTGGGCAAACGACCTTCTGCCTCGTATGGGCAACGCCTCGGGTGACACCGGCAACGAGTCCTGTTCAACATAGCGGGTTCCAGGAACCCTGAACCAAAGACCTTGCAATTCGAGCAAGGGATCCCCCACTCGAACCATCTCTTTGGGACGCATCTTTTGCTTCAGGCGGCGTTCCCCAAACCTTCCGCCGTCTTCCGCAGGCGGAGCCGCTCTTATTTTACCTCCGCCGCCTTCCGCCGAAGAAGAGAGATGCCAACTCCTTCGACTCTCGAAGGCGAGGCCATCTCTGGAACGCCTCACATGGATAGAGACTGACTGCTGCTGGTCTTCTGCGCCACGAAGATGCATACACGGACATTCTCCGACTAATTTTGCATGTGCCTTCAGGGAGGGCGGCGGTGTATAAAACCGCTGGCCCCCAGTGGTGATTTACACACGGCCACCCTCTCCTGAGGCCCAGGAATTATCCATTGGAGGGTGTCTGTGTGTATTTATATATAGATATATGGCAGATCTTCGTCCCCATTCTCTCCGTGCCAATTTCGATCGTACCGACACTCTGGACCACCGCGGACAACAGCGTTTCGGCGGCCTCCGACCAAGTTGCCCGTAGCGCAAGGGGTTTAGAGCAGCTTCCCGCGGCCCTCGCGCTGCTTCTCTCCGCGCGGAACCCGCCGCGCGCTCGGAGTGGTGGTCTCACCCTGGCAGCGCGGCAGGACGCTCACGTGCAGTGGGCAGTTCCCTATGCCAATTCATCCCAATTGCGAGTGCGGCGAAGACGCCACAAAAGCTAGCCGAGGTGGCGGCAAAACTGGGTGGCGAGTTCCCTCGCCGACCCGCGGAGGCAACGCCAAAGTAATTTGATTCCATCGCGGTTGGGGCTTCGCGCGAGCTGGACCACATCCAACGGGTACCGATACCGCGCTGCATGCGTCTTGCTAAAATGCCTCCAATAGATACGCTTCGCGCCAACGTGGATGCGAGCACACCCAACGCGAGTCCCAGTGCACACAGCGGCGACCGCGTACGCTCCACCTACAGTGGAGGAGAGCATCCGCGCTGGAATGGCACTAAAAGTTAGCCGTTCTAGGCGAATCTCGGGAACTGGGCAGGCGGGGGCCGGGGCAGGACGATGCCTGCATCCGGCCCCTTCTCCACCCTCCAGGACGCAAGGGGGAGAGTGGGAGAGAGGGGGCGGGAGAGACTGGCGGCACGCCGAACGGGGCAGGGCGATGGGGGGGGGGGGGGGGGCCCTCCAGTGAGACACTGGGGTCGGAAGGGGCAGATCCCCTCTACAAGTGAACACCAGAACGCCTGCCTTCTTGAACCCCTGCTTCCTTCTGAGAAGCCCTCTCAGGAAGGATGCCTCCGGGGAGGGCTGGATCCATTCGAAGAGTGCCCCTGCAATCTCTGAAGGCTGCCCCCGCCCCCGCCGGCCTCGCCCCTTCTGCGCGCCGCCCCAGGGGGGGGGGGGGGGAGGGCGGGGGGCGTGGGGGGAACGAGTGAGAGGCGAGGAGCGGCCGAGCCAGAGGGGAGAGGAGGAACACGAGGGTCATGCTGCTAACGCCAGGCAGAGCTCGACACGAGCCGAGCTCGCAGTGCACGACGAGAGGCCAACATCGATTATGGGCACGGGCGCGGGGCCAAAGTCCGCAGAGTCCGCGACAGCAGTGGAGGATAGCGAGGCAGAAGAAGCCCGCGGAGGCAGAAGGAAGGAGGAAGACTGAGTGTCGGGTCTCTCACCACAGGCATGCAGCAGGTCTCCCCAACCTGCGGTACATGACAGTTATTAGCGGGCGAAGAACGGTATAAACTAAACTTTTCCGTCGCCGGGGGCGCTGCCCCAGGGCGGCTGGAAAGTTTATACCTTGACGTGCCACCGTAAGAGTATGAACTTTCCAGCCGCCCTGAGACAGGCGCCCCCGACAGCGAACAAGTTGATTTTATACCATTCTGCGCCCATTAAAATTAGACAGCGATCGCAGCTGCAGAGCAGCTCAGCACCTGGATCGCAATCCAAGGCCCCAAAAAGCCCACAGCGGCCTCGTCAACCGCATCTCCTTGTGGGTCTTACAGAAACTCGGCTGCACTCGCGCCTCGTGCACCTCACTGGCCCGCGCTGGCCACCGACCCCGAGGCCGACATGCTCTGGATGTCGGCCCAGAGGCCGCGTGAAGGCCACTGCGACTGGAGCAGCGGCGGCGCCAGGGCGGGCATCGCTGGGAGGTCGAAGAGGTCGTGGATGTCCGCCTCCATCATCGCAGCGAACTCCTCGGCAGACGGCGGCGGTGCCACCGCCATCGGCACCGCGTGCACGCGCGGGGCGCGGGGCGAGTCGTGCTGGGCCGCCCCCTGCGGCGGCTCTGCCGCGGGCCGCACGCCGCGGCGCGGAGCGGCGAGTCCTTCGTCCGTGTCCTCCGGCACGGCGGGGCCCCACCAGCCCACCAACGCTGCGGTGCGCATGCGCGAGGCCGACCGAGACTCTGGCTCGGTGCAGGGCGCGTCTCGGCTGGGCTGCTGCGTCGGCGGATTCGGCGGGGCCAGGCTGGCGCGTCCATGGGCCAGGCGGGACGTGGCGACCATCGGTGCCTCCCGCGAGCAGAGGGCGGCGAGCGTGGCCACCGCCGGCTTCGAGCTGCCGAGCGCTGGCTCTCCCCTCGAATTGGCTTGAAAATTGCTGAGCCGACATGGCCGCGGAAGGGCCTGTTTACTATCCCTGCTCCACCCTCGCCGGGATCATGTGGCATGTGGGGTTCAAAGGGTAAGCGCAGAATCGTGTGCACACTCGTTGCCGATGATTCCGGGATTGGTGCTCACGGGCTCGAGCGGCTGGTCATAAACATCGTGCTGAGTCTGAGCTCGAAGAGGTCAACGACGACCATGCGTGCGTGGACAACAAGCAGCCCAACTTGACCCAAATTCGGATGTTCCGCTCCATCGAGGGGCACATCTGAACTAACGCGAGTTGCTTTCTATCTCGTAGCACAATAGATCAGACCATGTTCAACGTGGCCAATGCATATCGCACTGCGATGTCGCATCAACTGTCATGGCGCATATCGCATAACACATCGTCCGATACAACAGCACGGCACAACATTACACATCGTTGCGTGTGATTGCACTTCACGTCATATCATGGCATGGCGTATCCGTTCACACATTAGCATGGTATTGTATGCCATGCCGTGATCTTGTGCACGCGTGAGCTTGGACTAGCACATCATGCAAGGCAGGTCGTAGCAAGACATTACATCATTCTACATCATTATCATCGTATGTAGTTCCATGGGCTTTCTTTGCGTTGATTCGTTTCGGATGCTGCGGCATCGTGTAAGACTGGACTGCGTCGCGTACACATACATCTCTGTGACGAAAGTTTCTTTCAATTTGCCTTTTGGAATGACGCGCTCGTGCGGAGTAGTTCGGAGTAGTTTTGCTAAACATACTCCGCGCGCAATCGCATCCCGCTCGATAATTTGTATGGTTTGGCGCGGAGTAGTTTCCGATCCCGTTTTGGGGTAACAGAGTTATTAACGTCTCCGGGATCGGAAACTACTCCGCCGAATGACCCCAGCATCATGTCATGTTAGGAATCTTGAGAGGGATGGGGGAGATCTTCATCATAACAAATTGAAGGAAGTTTTGTCACGGCTGTCTATGCATGAAATAATTGGGGCCAGGTTGCGCAACATATCATTCGCATGCTGAGGCATTGTATCATATATCGCCGCATGCCAACCCAAACTATGGCCCAACAACCAACTTTCGTAAACCCAAACGACCAACCACAGCTGGGGGAACCGTGTTCCTTAATTACCCCCTTGGGAGAACCCGTTGTATCGACGGTCTCCCGAGGTGTCGGATCCGCTGGGTCCCCCAGAGGGGGCAAGGATCACAACTCCCCAAATTGTGGCTCGCCTGTTCAAGAATTGTACTGGGAGGCCCGGGAACATTGTGGATTCGGCTTCCACGCACGGGTTCGCCAAAGAAATTCAACCCCGTTGGTCGAAGCCTGGTGGGGAGTGTGTAGTAAACGTGATGGCCCATCCCTGCAATCAAGGAGTCCCGTTTCTGAACGGGCTTTACGCGATGGTCGACTACATCTTGACCCTCCAGAGGTCGGCTTCGGGCTCCTGGACCATCAAGGGCCGACTCGGGATGAAGAGCTGGTCCCTGGAAAATGGTCGGGAGGTCTAGGGGCCCATGCCCCGAAAAGATCGAGCCGGCCAACGTCCGTGCTCTCTCGCTCTGGCACCCGCTCACGGTGGCGGCCCGCCACGACGACTGGGCACCGCGTCGCGCTCCGAGTTTGTTCGCGCTGGCCGCCGCACGTGTTCTCTCTCTCTCTCTCTCTTTCTGTCTCTCTCTCTCTCTCTCTCTCGATGTCTGCGTTGTGCGCGTGGGCATACAGTCTGGACGTCGGTGGCTTTCTTGGAAGCGAAGGCGGGGTACAGTCAGGGTTTGGGGCATTCTGAGGCCCCCAGATCTGGCCGAAATCGGCGCGGTCCCACGAACGCCGACCGTAACATTCCCAGCGTGGTGTGACCCAGACGGAATTTCGGCCAACGCCCATATGTATACAAATAGTTACATGCATATATACACACATCTGTGCAAGCGGGGGTGCACCGAGGGCCACAACTGTTTCGCGCCCCCAACGACATTGACTGAACCTTCGAGGCGACTAGACCAACGAAAATAAATTCAGAGAAACTCGCGTCCATATGTATAATGCCCGAGTTGACATGGGACGGGAACGCCAAGAGGGTGGGAAGCTTGGACATGAATGCCCACGGCCCTCTCCAGCTGTTCACCCGCAACAACGGATCTACGGTACGCCACTGCATTCAGTGCGAGCGGGGGAAGCACCGAGGGCCACAACTGTTTTGCACCCGCAACTCTGTGTTAAGGCTGGGCCCGGAACTCCAAACAACACTGACTGCACCGTTGAAGCGACTCGACCGAGGAAAACGATGTCAGAGACAATCGCAATCCAAAGCCACAAACTCGAGCAACGACGAAATTTATGCCTGGCCTCCGCGGGAGGCCCCAGACGCCCCTACAGAGCCCCGACGAACCCACATTTCCTCCACCTCAAAACAGCCTCCAACAGGCCACCGTGAGGCCTCCCACGACGTCCACACGATCATCATCAGGATCATCGTGACCAACATGATCACCATCATCCCCGTCATCATCATCATGATCACCATGGTCACCAACATCGTCTTGGCCATCGTCATCATCGTCATCGTCATCGCCGCCATCATCATCATCATCATCATCATCATCATCATCATCATCATCATCATCATCATCATCATCATCATCATCATCATCATCATCATCATCATCATCATCATCATCCTCGTCATTGCTATCATGTTGTTCATCCCTCGTGAGTGCGCCCTCCAGTGCCCCCTCGGACGAGAGTCGCCGAGCATGCTGGGCTGGCGCGGTGGCGGGCCTTGCCGCAGGCAGCTGGCCTGACACCAGAGAGGGCCCAACCATTCGGCTTTCGGCGGGCCTGCGTCGAGGAAAACAAAAAAACAGGAAGGCAGAGGGCGCTGGCCGCGCGGGGGAGAGGGGCGAGCGAACGGCGACGGCGGGCGGGGAAGGGGACGCGCACCCAAAGGCCAGCATGGCAGGCGCGCGGACCCTGCGCAGGAAGACGACAGGTCTGCAGAAGCAGCGGCCGCGAGAAGGCAGCAGCTGGCGCGAGGACGAAGCAGAGAGAAGTGACGAAGAGCACGAGCCAGGGATAGGTCAATTTCGGCTCGTCCTGGCCCCTCCTGGGACAGAGGTCTGAAGTCGCAAACGCCCTCAACACGCCCCAAGCGAGGCCCGCGAATGCAACCGACACGCCGAAGGGAGAGCCACAACAGACCCCGCCCAGAACCCCCAAGAGACCTCTCAAGAAACATACATGAAGGTCACAAAGAAGCCTTCCCTTCAACGTGCCTTCGCCGAAGCATTGGGCCCCAAAGAATGCCTGACTCCCTCTGAACAATGTGGCTGTGCATTTGGGACAAGATTTGCGGGAATACTCAACCGGCACGACAACAAAAGCCGAGAGGGAACCCGACTCCAACCGTGGATGCATGCGAACCGCAGGGAAGCCAAATAATAAACACGCCACGAAATCCACGATCCCGAAAAAAGTGGGGCGGCGGTGTCTGCCCCCTCAGGGGCGTTCAATTGAACGAGAACCCGCAAGCACTGTTTGGGAACATATACATGTATGTGCGTGTGTATATATATATGTATATGTATATGTATATATATATATATATATATATATGTCGACATGTCTGTATGTATGTATGTATGTTGGTACCTATAATAATACTTACGTACTTTCGCAATAATGTATACATGACCGACTCTGGGAGACTCGAGCAACAACGCCCAACAACTTCTTTGGGGCGCATCTTTCACTTCAACGGGCTTCCGCCTCGTGTCGCTTCCGCCAACTTCCGTCGGCCTTGCCACCCCCGTCGATCCTCGAAGGCGGGGCCCTGGCTGGAGCGCCTCCTTTGTACACACATATATATATAGACATATACATATGTATACAAGGCTGCAGTGGCGCTTCGCGCCATGCACCTTGGTCCTTGAAGTTTGGTATGCAGGCGGAATAGCAGGAAAGTCTACCCGACAATTTAGCGATAACTCCTGGTTGCCTTTTCCGGCATCGCCGAAATAATAATGTTATTCGTTATCCTTCCTCCATGCTTCTTCTTCCTTATTTTCGCCATACCCTGCGCATTCTCCCCATCCTCTTCAGCTCTTTTTTGCGGAGGCTCCTCCTTGGAGAGCCTCTAGGGGCCTCACAAAAGTTGTTTGAGGCTTTCTTAAGGCCTTCTGGAGGCCTCATGGGCGTATTCTGGGGGCCTCCGGGGGCTTCCTCGGGTCACCCTGCCTCCAACCGCGGTCTTCCTGAACGACCGAATCATGATTTGGAATTCTTCGGAGGGTGTCTTTGGGCCATCTTGGGCCGCCATGGGGCTCTCTGAGGGCCATCTTGGACCCGTGTTGTGCCCTTTTGGGGCTCTCTTGGACTGCCTGGAAGCCCTTTCGGATGGTTGTGGGGCGATTTTGGAATCTCCCAGGCGGCTTCGGACGCCCAGAAGACCGCCGTCTTGGAGCGTCGGGAAGCCGAAAAGAGGATAACCCCCAAATTCACCAAACACCAACAGAAAATCAATGATTCTTGCCTCGGGGGGCCTTCTTGGGAGTGCTCTTGGAGGCCTCTTTGGGGCCGTCCTGGAGGCCTCTTGGGCCATCCTGAGGTCACGTCGGTCACTCTTGGAGCGCTCTTGTGCTGTCTTGGGGGTCTCTGGGACGTCTCCGATGACCCCCCTGATCGCCCTAGGTGTGCTGGGACGGCTTGGCAAAGCGCCCTGCGAGGCCCAGTGGCCGCTTCGAGGCCCGTCTGGAGGGTCCCAAAGCTCCAGATCCCAGGAGTCCGTTTTTTTAGAGGGGGAGTGACGGGTTTTCCCCCCGCCCGGGCTTATGAAAATATAAGAAGAGGAATATGCTTGTATATGTATATGTATATGTATATGTACATGTATATGTACATGCAGACGCATATGTATATGTGTATACATATATTTGTATGCATATGTAGTTGCACATGTTCGTTTCTATATAGGTACGTATTTCTCGATAACTGTATATATACACATGTGTGTATGCATGTTCGGATGTAGATGAAACATCTGCATATCTTTTCTCAGCTGAGAAATGCGCCAGGCCTCTACGTCAGCGGGCCGTCAGCGGCATGGCGCCCCGCTCGCCGCGAGGCGGCGGCAGGGCTGGCAGCCGAGCCGTGCCTGGCGTCTTGCGCAGGGGGTCGACGAGGCTGTTGAGGGCGTCCGCGAGCGGCTCGTTGCGGGGCGCTTTCACCGTGCCCTTGCGGCAAGATCGGTCAGCTTTGAATCAGAAACGCGGGTCGAATCGGAGTCGGATCGGCACGGAGTCGACATCGGAAGGGATCGGCTGCGCCGAGGTGCACAACTGCGCTACGCCAACACCGGGCTGCATCGGATCTTAAGAACATGCAAGTCGGATCGGATCGGGCCGGCCAGAATCGGCATCGAACTGGATGTATCGGATCGAAGTGGACCCTGCCTCGCAGTCTCTGCCCGTCAGCTTCATGAACATGAGGTCGATCTTCGTGGTCTTGCTCTGCATCTGCTCCTTGAGCTTCCTCTTCTGCTCAAGCCGCTGCATCCTTGGCAAGACCGAGAAAGCTGCACACACACAAGCTTTTCTGAGGTACCCCAATTCGTGGCGCGAAGCGCTGCATGGGCGGTGCCAGAGGCGCCGCCAACGGGGAGGGGGGGGGAGGGGAGCGCCCGTCCCAGCAATCCGCGCGGCACGCCAAACCTTTTCTGTGTTTGTCTGTGTCTCTTCGCGTCCTGCTCTCCATCTCGGCCTCCCACCTCTCCATGAGCTTGGGGTCCTCCCACTTCTCAAGCGCGTCGCGGAGGAGCGTGGCCCGCAGCGCTCGCAGGACCACCGGGGTCCGTGTCGTCACGGTGGCCTGGCGCTCGGCAGGCCCGAAAGCGGCCAGCTCTCCAACCACGGCGCCCTCCTGCAGCACAGCGATGAAGGACCCCTCGCTCCACACCTCCACCTCGTGAGGGGCAACGATATGGGGGGGAACTGGCATAGGGGGGGATGCATCGACCTGGAATCGGCGATACATCACCGATAGATCGGCGATAGGCCTCTATAGTGAATCCGCACCTTCCTGGGCGGGTTGGGGCTATCTTGCCCCTATCGGCGATCACTGGGCGATTGGGGGTCGATGCGACCCCCCTATGATGCCTATCCCCCCCCATCGTTGCCCCTGAGCCTCGCCCTTGGCCAGCCAGTAGACGAAGTCGTCGCGGCGGGCTGGGGTGCCCTCCTCGATGAGGGCCGTGCCCGCGTCCAGCTTCTTGGTCTCCATGCGGTGGCTCAGCTCCTGGAGCAGGTCCAGCCTCGCCCCCTGGAAGATGGGGTTGGCCGAGAAGAGGTGCGCGTCGGCGCTCGGGATGGCGCTCCCGAAGCCCAGCGCGCAGCCCGGCAACCGCGCGGCGGGTTTCGCCAGGTCCACAGGCACAACTGCGCCGGCCGCGCCGACCGCCTCGTTCAACGAGACCAGCCGGTGGCGCGCGTGCTCCAGCAGCTTGATGCGGGCCTCGGGGTACTTTGCGAGGATCGGGATCACCACCTGCCTGCTGAAGACTATGCAATGACACTGCGTCGCTGCCGTGACGTTCGAGGTCCTTCTCTCCAGCAGGTCTAGCATGCATATCTCTCCGAAGAGGTCGTTCTCCAGGCGACCCAGGTACTCGCCGCAGGCGGTCATCTCCACCGCTCCCTGCAGGAGCACGAACATCTCGTCGCATCGAGTGTCGCCCTCTTGGATGATGACGCGGCCAGGGCGATACCAGGTGGACGTGGCATTCATCGCCAGCTCGGCCACAAACTCGTGCAGGGAGTCGTCGTTCGCGAAGAAGGGCACCTTCTTCAGCGCATCGCAGTGCACGGCCTGCTGCTCCAGATTCAGGTCGTCCTTGATGTCTACCAGCTTCCCGAGTTCCATGAGCTTGGCCTTCATCTCCCGCTGGAACTTCTTCTTCTCCCAGGGGTACTTCTCCAGGATCGAGTGGAACACGCTCCTCGGCGGCGAGTAAGAGTGGGGGAGGGGTCGGCTGGATATCTCTTCTGAAAGTCCCCCGCCTCCTGAAACGTGCGGGGAGGGCACGGCATCCAGGGGGCCGATCCCTCCTGAGAGAACACACGCTCTCAGACTGCCGCCCCTTCCCTTCAAGACACTTCGGGCACTGTGCCCCCCCCCCCCCCCACACACACGGGAAACCCAGGCCTTGAAAATCCAAAGAACTCGATGGGTTCGGGCCCGAAGGCTGGGAATCCCTTTGGGGCACCCGTCTCAGACCTCGATATATCCATGCACCAATGGGCGCATTTTTTGCCCGTGTGCTCTCGAGGTCCCCAAAGGCCCCCAGAGGCGTCTGGAGGCCTCCAGAAATTTTCATAGGGTCAGAAGCGCCTAGACGCCTCAATCGTGACGAACCCCAAATCTCTACCCTCAACCTCCCCGTGCGATCGCCCTCCTGGCCCCCCGACATTGCTATTCACAACATGGGACCCCGAAGTCTCGACCGCCTTCCTGCGACCGGTTTTCATGCCGAGTGATTTTCGAACGGTCTCGGGGCAAGGGCCCACCGAGGCCGACAACTTCCAAGAACGCCCCCCGTCGCGATGTCTTCACGACGCGAGGGGGTCTACAAGTCTCGGTGGCCGGCGATCGACCCCTGGACCTGCCCAGGGGGCGCTCTGGCCGTGAGTCCGAAGCAGGTCCCCCCGTGGCGAAGGGAGGCCTCCAGGAAGGCCAGCAGAGAGCCCCCCAAACCGAGGGGCAAGGATGTCGAGGGCGCGCAAACATGGATTAGCGATCCATGGATTTGGCGCGCCGTCGCCAAATCCATGGATCGGGGGAGGTGCCCTCCTCCAAATTCGTTCGGCGGCGGCAATCAAGGATTTCCGATGGAAACAGGACCCGTCGCTAATCCACGCGCCCTCAATCCATGTTTGCGATCGCCTGAGAGGGGCAAGGATGATGGGGGACCTGCTCGGGGGGGGGGGCGGGGAACAGAGAAAAGAGCTCCGGTCCGCGATGCCCTGCCAAAACATGATCGGCGACAGCCGCCCGAGGGCGAAGTCGGAGGTTGCGGGGCGGGGTGAGCTGGCACGCCCCTATCGAGGATAGATCGGCGATTGGGTGTTGATGTGTGCCCCCCGGAGCCTACGCCTTAGCATCTTCCGCTCGGCGCGTCGCGGGGCGGCCCCCGCGACATGTCATGCGCTGTGAGCGGATAGCGCGTCGCTTCACTCCGCGGGGCGGAAGGGCCTGGAAAAGCTCGGACCGAGGACGCGTGGAAACATTGGGGCGTGCTGAGCGTGTCGCGCCAGAACGCGGTGGGCCAGAACCAGCGACGCGACACGCCAAGCAGAAGTTTCTGACCGCAGCGCTGCCCCTGGGAAGCGTCCCCAGAGCCCTGCGTTCGAGCCAAACCTCGGGCCTGTGACTGCCATTCGGGACGATCAAGGCACCTCCAGAACGCTCTCGGCGAGGCGCAGCTGCTGAAGAGCATCCCGAGGCTGGAACACCGCCGAGATCCAACGAGAACGCTCTAAAACTTGAAGCCTCTCTGCGCGCGGCCGGGGCTCCGGAAGATGATCGCCACGTCGCACTTCTGCACAGACCGCACCGAGGCGGTGCGCCGGTTGTCGACGTTGAGGAGGGCCGCCTCCGCCCCAACCGGCGGCGCTCTCGTGGGCCGGGGATCCAGGATCGAGGCTTGTTAGCTTGTTTTCGCTTATTTTTTTTTATTCTTCTCCTGAGCACTACTTGCACTTAGGTGTTCTCAGTTCTTTTCGTTAAGGTGACTGGTTGGTATTCCCGATGTTCGCCACGTTGCGGCCCGTGCTGCCTCGTGGGCGCTCCGTGCACTGGGGGAGGTATGCCGAGGTTGCGCCACGCTGCCGCCTTTGCCGCCTCGTGGGCGCCCCGTTCGCTGGAGGGGTATGCTGAGGTTGCGCCACGTTGCCGCCTCGTGGGCGCCCCGTGCTCTAAGCTTACACGACAGAACTTTCACCACATAGCTTACGCCACACAACTTGCACGACCGAACCTTCACCGCGTAGCTCGCACAACATAGCGTACATCACGTAAATTCTCCTTTCCGCAAAAGAGAATAGACTCTACCCCCCCGGACTTATCGGGCCTCCCTGGGACAATATGAATTCACACACTCACTATATATACATATATATATTCTGCACACTCGTCCATCAAAATATGAAATCATATCATCCCAGCCAAACCGGGTTCCCCCCCCTGAGGTTCCCTTGTAAAAAACACTATGCGGTGAGATTTTCTGTTCTAGCATAACACTTTTTCGCGAATCCCTTGCAACAAATGGGACGAAGTGCACACGCGCGCGTCGTCGCGCGCGCATGCCGAAATCCTTCAAAAACCTTCGGTGCCGGAAGGATTTCGCAATCGAGTTTCCAAACAAACATACAGAATCACAGGGTTTCGCAACACAGAGTTGCTAACAAAGCTTCCGCGCGAGCTCTTGCGAAATCTTAAGAAAACCATAGGTTTTTCAAGATTTTCACAACATGCTACCAAACGGGCTTCGCGCGCGCATGTCGAAATCTGTCGAACGCCCTTGCGCGTGTGCCGTCGCGAGAACCCTCTGCAAAAAACGGGACGAAGTGCAGACGCGCGCGTCGTCGCGGGCGTGTGCCGAAACCCTTCAAAACCCATCGGTTTCGGAAGGATTTCAAAATCGTGCGTCCAAAAAACCTACAAACACCCACGGTTTCGCAACACAGATTTTCAACAAAAGCGTGCGCGCGCGCTCTTGCGTCGTCGTCGTCGTCGTCGTCGTCGCCGTCCTCCCTCCTCCCGCGTCGTCGTCGTCGTCGCCTACGTCGTCCTCTGTCTTTCCTCGTGTTCGTCGTCGTCGTCCTCTTTGGCGTCGTGGTCGTTTCCGTCGTCGTTGTCGCCGTGGTCGTCCTTCCTCCTCCTCCCCTCGTCGTCGTCGTCGTCCGTCGTCGGCGTCTCGTCGTCGTCCCTCCTATTTCGTCGTCGTCGTCGTCGTTCGTCGTCGTCTTCCCTCCTCCCTCGTCGTTGTCGTCGTCGGCGTCGCCGTCCTTCCTCCTTCTTCGTCGTTCGCGTCGTCGCCGTCCTCCCTCCTCCCTCGTCGTTGTCGTCGTTGTCGTCGTTGTCGCCGTCGTCGTCCTTCCTCCTCCCTCGTCGTCGCCTTCGTTGGCGTCGTCGTCGTCGTCTTCCTCGTCGTCGGCGTCGGCGTCGTTGTCGTCGTTGTCGTCGTCGGAGACGTCGTCGGTGTCGTCCTAGTCGTTGTCGTCGGTGCCGTCGTAGTCGGTCTTAACAGGTTTTGAAAACCAAGTTGCGGGTGGGTGGGTGGGATGTTTGCGCGAGCAGTGGAGATGACGACTTCAAGTTAAGCAGAGTGGCTTGCACCCCATAGCTCCCACCTCTAATTCACTTACACGAAATCGCTTACACCACATATCTTGCACCGCGTAAAATTCACCCCTCAGCTCACATTACATATGTTACGCCACGTGGCTTTCACCACATAGCTTGCACCACATAGCTTTCACCTCTACAGAAATGCATTGTCTGTGGTCCACGCTGGCTAACATCGTTCGTGTTTCTTTTCCAGTGCTTTTCTTCCGCCAGAGCAACTCAGCACGATAGCCGCCAGAAAGAACCACTGACCCAGGAGGAGAAACATGACGAAGAATACTAACAAAGAGGCGCATCGACGCCAAACAAAGATGCGAGAGGGACCTTCCGTACACGGCGGATCGAGGGTAGGGGCTCGAGGTCCTGGATTTCGGGTGGACTGACTTTGACCAGCCGCACTGCTTGTCTGTCCTCAATTTCGGCCTATTGGGGCCCGTTCTCGAGCCCAAGGACCGTCAAGAACGTATCCGGGACGGAATAGCTTTATTTGTTACCCACATACCAGGCGGATCTTTTCTCTGCACACCTCCGCGCAGTCCTCCTCCTCCTCCTCACCCCCTCTCCTCTTTTTCCTTCGCGAGCTCGCTCACTTACTCACACATTTATCATCATCATCACCATCATCATCATCATCATCATCATCATCATCATCATCATCATCATCATCATCATCATCACCATCATCATCATCATCATCATCATAACTCACTCAGCACTCACCCACTCACTCACCCACCTACCCACCCACTCACTCACTCACACACACACATCATTATTATCATTATCGTTATCATCATCATCCTCAGCATCAACATCATCCTCACTTACTTCTTCACTCATTCACTCATTCACTCACTCACTCACTCACTCAAACCCACACTTGAGGAAGAATCAGGCGTGAATCCCGTCTGTGAGCGAATTGCGAAGGAAGTCTCAGGCGGGAACCCCCTCCCTATGGGGTCTGCACATCATGTTGGTAATCCGAACGGGTCATTGGAAGCCTGTAACTGTCGTCACCCTTCGGCTCCTCTGGAATGAACATGGAGGAAGTCTCCGGGGGGAACCTCGTCTGTGGGTGAGGTGCAATGAAATCTCAAGCGACAGCCCCCTCCCCATGGGGTCCGTCCGCACTTCAAATTGGCAATCCGAGCGGGCCATCGGAAACTTGTAACTGTCGTCACTTTTCGGCTCTTTTGGACTGAATATGGAGGAACTCTCCGGCGGGAACTTCGTCTGTGAGTGGATAGCGGGAAAGTCTCAGGCGGGAGCCTCCTCCCTATGGGGCCCGCACTTCATGATAGAAATCCGGATGGGTCATCGGAAACTTGTTCCTGTCGTAATTTTTCGGTCTTCTGGACTGAGTATCGCGGAAGTCTCAGGCAGGAGCTTCGTATGTGAGTGAGTTGCGAGGAAGTCTCAAGCGAGAGCCCCCTCCCTATAGGGATCGCACCTCATGTTGGTAAACCGAGCGGGTTATAGGACACCTGTAATTGTCGTCACTTTTCGGTTCTGGACTGAATATGGAGGAAGTCTCCGGCGGGAACTTCGTCTGCGACTGGATAGCGAAGGCATCTCAGGCGGGAAACCCCTCCCTCTGGGGCCCGCACTTCGTGTTGGTAATCCGAGCGGGCCATCGGCAAACTCTACCATTCGAGCAGCCCAAAGGGGCACATCACGAGTCGTTCTTCATGCGTCTGTGAATGAGTTGCACGGAAATCTCAGGCGGGGCCCCCCTCCCTATGGCGCCCGTGTTTCAATGCACGGAAGAATGTATCACACATCATCAGCATATAGCGTCAGAGAGCAGAAGGAAACAGCAAAGACCAACAGAGAGCAGCAGAGACCAGCAGAGACCCGCCGTGCATGAGGAGGAGGAGGAGGAGGAGGAGGAGGAGGAGGAAAAGGAGGAGGAGGAGGATAAGAGGAGGAGGAGGAGGAAGAGGAGGAGGAGGCGGAAGAGGAGGAGGAGGAGGAGGAAGAGAAGGAGGAGGAAGATGAGAAGAAGGAGGATGAGGAAAAGGACGACGAGGAAGAGGAGAACTTGATCAAGGACGGCGAGCAAGATGAGAAGACGGAGGACGATGATGACAAGGAATATGAGGATGGGGCGCAACAGAAGGTGACGCGGGGGGCTTCGGCCAGGGCGAAAAAAGAAAGAACGAAGGGCAATCTAAATAGATGCGCGTGTGTGGTCCTACCGTCGGAATAACTGTTTCAATGTTTTACCCGGGGCGGAATACATGGGATGGAGCAGCTGTGCCCGGAGGGGACTTCTGAGGCTCGAGGCTCGCAACTACCGAGATTTCCGAAGCTCGGGGCTCGAGGGTCGGGGGCTGAGACTCGAGGATCGAAGCTTTTTTTGGTGCCCCTTGCCGTTTTCAAGCTCTGCTGGGCTCTGGGGGCCTGCATGGGGAGGAGGAGGAGGAGGAGGAGGAGGAGGAGGAGGAGGAGGAGGAGGAGAACGAGGGAGGGAGGGAGGGAGGAGGAGAGAAGAGGGAGGAGGGAGGGAGGAATGGGGGGAGGAGGGAGGAGGGAAGGGGGAGGAGGATAGGAGAGGAGAGGAGAGGAGAGGAGAGGGTAGCAGGATATAGGACAGGATAGGGTCGGGTAGGACAGGGTAGGATGGGATATGCTAGCAGTCAGACGGTGTCTATTCTGAAATAGCTGCACGCCGCCCCCTGAGCTCGTCGACGAACACGGCGAACCAGAAAGCGAACGCCACGACCAAGAAACCGAATGGCAGGGCTAGGGAGCACGGGGAACGTATCTGATACCTCGCACGAGTACCTCACATCAGCGACTAACTCAAACTGGCATTTCACGCCTGTCCACCAGCCACACAGACGCGGGCAACACTGCGCCATGAATTACGGAACGTAACTATAACACCTCAACGCAAGGGATAATCTGCCAAGCCGTCGATGCTGAACATTCCGACCGAAGCTTTCATGGGGCACGCAAGGCCCATGCATATTAGCAGCAAGCGCCATCCCAACCAGGCAGCAAGAAATGACACATCCCACGAACGCCAAGACACTATGCGAGCCGTTCGGACAATGCATTGAATACTTGGCCAGCCTTGTCCAAACATGCTCCTCTCAGGATACTTGCCACCGACCGCTATAACAAGCGATGTAGCTGACGATGGGATGTGCAACCTAAGCTTCCAAGCCCAAAACTTCGCGACAAGAAAAGAAGCAACCACTGCCTGCCCGTCTCCTGCACCATATTGGGATGCACAGGTCCATTGCGACACTGGACGTGGAAACGCACCGACGGACCGTGCAAAACCTGTAACTGATGGTTGTCGGTACAAGCGTCCGCGCCCAGCCGAGCCCCGCACCGCCAGAGATACTTGCCACTGTTTCGCCTCTTCTCGCACGTGCAGAGAGAAATCATGCAATTGATGACGGCCGGTGTAAACTTGCCTTCCCGATCGCCGCAGTCGAAACAGTGGCCGCATTCGAAACGCATGTGGTGCGACGCTGGACCTGGGACCGCGCCGACGGGCCGCGCAGCGGCCCCGAAGCTGCCACTGCCTGCCTTTCTCACACGCGCTATTTCAAACTGGTAGCTGGTGGTTGTCGGTGCACGCTTCGCAACCGACCGAGCCTCGCACCACCTGCTGTGCCTGCCACCGTCCGCCTGACACAGACGTGCAGAGCCAAGCGTTGTAGCTGATGGCGGTCGGTGTGAACTGAACTGCATTGATGCACTGGCCCATTGCGGCGCTGTGCTAGCGAACGCGCCGGTGGGCCGTGCGACGGCCAGCAACCTGCCACTGCCTGCCTTTCTCGCATGTGCTGATTCGAACTGGTAGCTGATGGTTCTCGGTGTCAGCTGCTCGTCCGACCAAGTAGGCACTTGCCGAGAGAGCTGCCGCTGTCCACCTGTCGCGCAAGCGCGTATCCAAGCAACTTAGTTGATGGCCGAAATGAAGCGCCCTGCGTTGATGCACTGGCCCGGTAAACCACTGCACCTGACAACGTGCTGATGGAGCTTGAAACGGCCAAGCAGTTGCCACAACCTGCCTTCCTCACGCATACTGGCCCGAACAAGTAGCTGATGGTTGCCGAGGCGGGTCCCGCGCTCAACCGAGCCTCGCACCGACAGACGGTATTGCCCTTGTCCTTATACAAACGTGCAAAACACAATTGTAGCTGATGGCAACCAAAGCAAATCCGTCCCAGCCAAAGCCAGACACGGCAAGAACCGCTGAACATGCGTCTCAAGCGCCACGTGGGGGCACTGGGCGGGACGCTGAAGCAAGCCAGTGAGAGCCAAACAAATAGCACTACTGCGCTCCGCGCTCCTGTGCTTGAGTAAGGAGGAGGAGGCGGAGGAGGAGGAGGAGGAGGAGGTGGAGGAGGAGGAGGAGGAAGCGGAGGAGGAGGAGGAGGAGAACGAGGAAACGAGGAGGAGGAGGAGGAGGAGAGAAGGAGAAGAAGGAGGAAGAGGAGAGGAGGAGTGGGAGGAGGAGGAGGAGGGATGGAGGAGGAGGAGAGGAGGAGGAGGAGGAAGGAGGGAAGGAGGATGAGGAGGAGGAGGGATGAGGATGATGGAGGAGAGGGAGGAGGAGGAGGAGAGGAGGAGGAGGAGGAGGAGGAGGAGGAGGAGGAGGAGGGAGGAGGAGAGGAGGAGGAGGAGGAGGAGGAGGAGGAGGAGGAGGAGGAGGAGCGACGACTCCTTGTGTCTGTGTGCCTTCTTCCTTCCCAAGAGCGGTGCGGGGGGCGGCCCAGGCCGACCGGCGGGGCAGGGGCCGCGCCTCGCCCACGATGGAGCCGCTGCGCAGCTTGCACACATAGCGCCCGTTGGACGTGACCTCCACGACGCCCCGAAAGAGCACGAACATGGAGTCGCCCCGCTGGCCCTCCTCGCAGCCAGGAGATGTGACGAAGCCGGGACGAGGACACAATTGGGTGGGGGTAAGTCGAGGAGCTCTGAGATGCAGCGGCTCTGGAGAATGTCTTGGGCGCCGCGGCCTTCTCGGAGCGTTCCGCAACGCTCTGCGAGTGTTCTGGAACGTTCTGTAACGAATTTGTCCTCGTCCTGGCCCCGCCCAAAGAGAGGAGAGGAGAGGAGAGGAGAGGAGAGGAGAGGAGAGAACAGGAGGAGAGGAGGAGAACGAGGAGGAGGAGGAGGAGGAGGAGGATGAGGAGGAGCAGGAGGAAGGGAGGGAGGGAGGGGAGGGAGGGAGGGAGCGAGGGAGGAGGAGGAAAAAGGAGGAGGAGGATGAGAAAGAGGAGGAGGAGGAGAAGGAGGAGGGGGAGGAGAAGGAGGAGGAGGAGGAGGCGGAGGAGGAGGAGGAGGCGGAGGAGGAGGAGAGGAGGAGGAGGAGGAGGAGGAGGAGGAGGAGAAGGAGGAGGAGGAGAAGGAGGATGTGGAGGTGGAGGAGGATGAAAAGGAGGAGGAGGAGGAGGAGAAGGAAAAGGATGATGATGATGATGATGATGATGATGATGATGATGATGATGATGATGATGATGATGATGATGATGATGATGATGCTGATGATGATGATGATGATGATGATGATGATGATGATGATGATGATGAAGATGATGATGATGAGGAGGAGGAGGAGGAGGAAGAGGGTTGGACGGTCTCGGACGCTGCAGCCTCGAAGACAGAGAGCCAAGGCACCCTCAGATTGCAACGTCGCAAAAATCAGCACTGGAGCCCTGGACCCCATCGTTCTGCGCCATCTTTCGAGCCTGATCGATCTGCGAGGGAACCAGGGCCCGAAACTGGGCGAACACGCCCGTTGCCAAACAACTGCAATGCCAAGATCTGAGGGCATCGCAAGTTGGCGGCCAGCCCTGGGGGGAGTGAGAGGGGGCGGGCCTTCTCAGAAAGCTTGGAGGCGCCCTGGCCTTCTGAAACGTCTTCCAAGCTTTCCCGAGGACGCAGACAACTTCTCAGAAGGTCAGAGGGCTTCTGAGAAGCCCCGCCACCTTCTGAAAAGGCCGTTCTCCTTCTCGCTTCCCCCACTCGCTCGCCGCCGAGCGAAAGAACAGCTGGACGACGCGGATCGGGCAGCGGGCCAGGGACCGCGGCCCAGGCGGGCCCCCATCGGCCACTCCTACCCTGCGCCCGCCACTCGCTCGTTCCGTCCGTCGCTCGCCCTGGCCCCTCCTGGCCGCGGGGCCGTTGAGGGACAACAAGGAAGGTGGAGGTACTCAGGGGGGGGGGGAAACGCCGACCTGGAATCGCCGCCCTTGGACCCCCTCGAACCCCTTGGACCCTCTGGGGCAGCGAGTCCTGTGAGTGGTGGCGGCGAGGGGCAACGATGGGGGACTGGCTCAGGGGGGAAGCGCCGACCTGTAATCTGTACTATATCGAAGATAGCGAATCCGCACGCTTCTGGGCGGGGAGGGCCATCGGGGCCCCATCGGCGATGAATGGGCGGTCGGGGGTGGATGTGTCCCCCCCGTGAGCCGATCCCCCTAATGTTGCCCCTGGGCCGTCCCTGCCCCCCGCCCCCTGCGCGCCCAGCCCTGGCTCCCTCACTCCCCCGTGCGCTCGCGCCCCCGCCGACCCCCTCCCGCGGGCCCGCGCCCCCCGAGATCCGGGCGCTGCATTTTTGACGCGCCAGGCGTGTTCGCCCGGCTGCGGGCCCCGGGAACCTCGCAGTCGATGGGGTCCGGGGCCCTGGGCGCGATGTTTCCCGACGTGATACCTTGTGCGCATCGTCGGATCTCAGGGAAGGCCTCGGGCCCGCGCCCCTTGACCTTTCGTTCGTCTGTCAGTGGCTCGCTGGAGACGCAGCAGCTGCACTCCTCCATCAAGTACCGGTTCGGGGCGTACTCCTTGCGATTGGAGGACACGATCAGGTCTCGGATGAACTCGTCGTGGCAGTCCCGGAAGACCTTGTAATTACTTCTGGAGGAGTGGGAGAAGGGAGGAGGAGAGGCGGGCGGACGAGGAGGATGAGCAGGGGGAGGAGAGGCGGGCAGAAGGGGGGGAGGAGAGGGATGAGGAGGATGATGAGAATTGGGAGTATGATGATGATGAGGAGGAGAATGAGGAAGATGAGAAGGAGGAGGAGGAGGAGGAGGGGGATGATGATGATGATGATGATGATGATGATGATGATGATGATGAGGAGGAGGAGGAGGAGGAGGAGGAGGAGGAGGAGGAGAAATAGCAGGAGGAGGATAAGGAGGAGGATGAGGAGGAGGGAGAGGAGGGGAGCAGGAGGAGGATGAGGAGGAGAGGAGGAGGAGGAGGAGCAGATGATGATGATGATGATGATGATGATGATGATGATGATGATGATGATGATGATGATGATGATGATGATGATGATGATGATGATGATGATGATGATGATGATGATGATGATGATGATGATGATGATGATGATGATGATGATGATGACAATGATGATTATGATGATGATGTTGATGCTGATAGTGATGCTGATGCTTATGCTGCTCATGATGATGATACTGATCATGACACTGATGATGATGCTGATGATAATGATGCTGATGTTGATGATGATGCTGCTGCTGATGATGATGATGATAGGAGGAGGAGGAAGAGGAGGAGGAGGAGGGGGAGGAGGAGGACGAGAAGGAGGAGGAGGAGAAGGATGAGGAGATGAGGAGGAGGAGGAGGAGGAGGTGGAGGAGGAGAAGGAGGAGGAGCAGGAGGAGGACGAGGAGGAGCAGGAGGAGGAGGAGGATGATGAGGAGGAGGAGCGAGGAACAGAGAGGATAGAGGAGAGGAAAGGGGAGGAGCAGAGAGAAGGGGAGATTGGAGGAGATGGGGAGGAGGAGGAGGAGGAGGATGAGAAGGAGGATGAGGAGCAGGAGGGGGAGGAGGGAGGAAGAGGAGGAGGATGCTGAGGAGGAGCAGGAGGAGAACGAGGAGGAGGAGGAGCAGGAGGAGGAGCAGCAGGAGGATGATGATGAGGATGAGCAAGAGGAGGATGATGAAGAGGATGAGCAAGAGGAAGATGACGATCATGAGCATGAGCATGAGCATGAGCAGGAGGAGGATGCGGATCAGGAGGAGGAGGCGGATGAAGATGAGCATCAGCAGGAGGAAGATGATGACCATGTTGAGGATGAGGATGAGGAGGAAGAGGAGGAAGAAGAGGAGGATGAGGAGGATAAGGAGGAGGATGGGGGTGCTGATAACGGATGATGACGAGGAGGAGGCGGAGGAATACGATGATACTGATCATGATGTGGAGGATGAGGAGGAAGAAGATGAGGAGGATGCTGCTGCGTAGGAGGAAGAGGAGGAGGACAATGAGGAACAAGAGGAGGATGAGGATGAGGAGGAGGAAGAGGAGGAGAACGCGGAGGCGGATGAGGAGGAATCTGAGGAGGATGATGCGGATGACGCTGATGATGAGGAGGAGTATGAGGGGGGGGGGAGGGTGCGGATGAGGAGGAGGAGGATGAGGAGGAGGAGGAGGAGGGGGAGGACGAGGAGGATGAGGAGTAAGGGGATGAGGCGGAGGGTGATGAGAGGGAGGAGGCGGAGGAGGAGGCGGAGGAGGTGGATGCAGAGGATGATGCTGCGGCTGCTGCTGATGATGATGATGATGATGATGATGATGATGCTGATGCTGCTGCTGATGATGCTGACGGTGAGAGGAGAATGAGGGAGATGAGGACGAGGATGATAATGCTGATGATAATGCTGATGATGATGTTGATGCGGAAGATGAGGAGGAAGACTAAGAGGAGGAGGAGGATACGGAAGAGGATAAGCAAGCGGATGATGACGAGGAGGAAAGGAGGCGGAGGATGAGGAGGCGGCCGCAGAAACGGAGGCGGATGCCGAGGAGGAGGATGCGGAGGCGGACGATGCGACTGAGGATCAGTTCTGGTATGGGGAGGCGGAGGAGAGGGAGGCCGATGAGGCTGATGATGAGGATGCGGGTAAGGAGGATGATGATGGTGATGAGGAGGAGGAGTAGTAGGAGGAAGACGAAGAATAGGAGGCGGAGGAGGCGGAGGAGGAGGTGGAGGAGGATGAGGAGGACGATGAGGAGGAGGAG